GTACACCTAATATCGAAGTACGAATGTGCGTCAACAAACCTTCATTACTTTTATTCATTTCAGGTTTTTACCTTTGGAAGGAATAAAGTGTATCTACGTTAGAAAATAGAAACCCATTAAACATGATCGCTGTTGCTATTTGTAGAACATTTTATTTCATTATAGTTATATTTATATGTATTTGTAAATAAACTAATAATTGAGTTGAATGATAACGAATGTTTATTAGCCAAACTTTTTAACTTTGCAGCAAAAAAACGACAAGTTAATTTTAAAACGTGAAGCATACTTGTAGACAAGTGTTTTATCGAAAACAGTTCAAGCATCATCGAGCTTTTATTAACATCGTCGTGAGCTTAACCTCTGCTTCAAAGATTTTTATGGAAATATTTAACTTCAGATTATTTATTAATTGTTTGTTTTGTATGAACAATCAGCGGAAAAATATTTTAATTGGAATGCTTTCAAAGTACCTAACTACCTACTCTTGAATACTAAATACCTAATTCGTATCTTCAATAGTTTATTCGCGAAGATAACTAAACACAATAAATTGTTTTTAATTATTTATATATATTTCATATAATCTACTTATTATTTCTATGAATAAAATTAATTCGATCCAAGTAAAACAATATCCACGTATAGATAACGCAGGATTTCAAACATTGTTCAATAGTAGAATTTCTGTGGGAATGTGTACGATAACACTTCCGGCGACAATGTAAAACTTGGTCGCTAACCCTCGGTATCAGTCTCTTTACAGCGCACAACTTTACACAAAGGGTATAAAAATACCCCAGAGATATGGTGCACTGACGAGTTTTGCGTATTCGTCAGTGTCGGCTTTTATCTGCATAAGCAAACCTTTTTAAACCTATACCTCTACGTTGAAAACCTAGGATATTTTATAGAATACAAAAATATCTTCGGCAAATTTACATGATTATTTTTGAAATTTAAATCTTATATTTTTCTTTTTGAAATTATCAGTACATAGCCAAGCTTTATCAAAACAGACTTGTTGAAGTATAGTCTTGAAATAGTTTTCCTGCCCGCATCTCGGTCAGATAATATTATAATCAAATAAGAACTCCGTGTTCTTTAGGTGAAGTTTCTAAGGAACCCTTTAGTAAATGAATGGCACTGCTAAATATGTCAATTTTAATCACATAAACTTTGAATTCTCAAAACGTAGGCAAATGCCTACGAAAAAATTAACTGTTTATAGGACCAATCTATTCAATTCTCCAGTAATGAGGATACATAAAAAATCACCGATTTTATATGTACGCTAATGGACTGTTTTGGGTGCGCTCCAAATTGCCTGAATGATCATTACGTTAAATGGAGCCGTAGTTAATATGTTGTAGGTTGAAATATCTTCCTTAGAACATAAAAAATAGATTTCAGAAGTACTCACCAACAAAACTACACATAATTATATAAAATGCTTTACTGTAGGTTAATAAATGGCTACAGGTTGAATTATAGTATACTGATTTCTGTTCCTCATCATCATCATCATCATCATCATATCGGCCCTAAACATCCCCTACTGAAAATAGGCCTCTTGCAATTACTTTCAGATAATTATATGTATAATACTACACAATATATAATAGTAATTACATTGGAAAATTATCTATTTTCCATGCCAGTTTATTTTGTAACATATCCATGCTTACAACCAATGTTCTATCTAGAATTCTAGATAGACAAAGAAATGTCAGATATTTCAATAACAAATGCGTTTTTCACACGAAACGTAATTATATATACACGTTTCATACAATGGTGTGATTATACCTAATGACATCGACCTACAAATGTAAGTACTATCTAAAGACTACATACTATAAATCTACAATCTAAAGAAGAAATCGATGATGTCCAGGTTTGAAAATAAATTGACTTAACTATTGGCGCAGTGCAATTTTTGGATGGAACGAGACAACTGTTTGCGAGATCCACCAATTTTTGTTTTGGATCTGATTCTGATTTGTAAAAAATGTTTGTAAAGGCAAACACGACACAAAAAGGTTAGAGAAGCCTAGTGCGGCTCAAGGTTTATTTTTAAACTAGCTACTTCCGTGCGGTTTTACACGCTCAGCTCAGCTCCTATTGGTCGTAGCGTGACATTTTATAGCTTATAACCTTCCTCGATAAATGCGCTATCTAACACAAAAAGAATTATTCAAATCAGACTTGTAGTTCCGAAGTTTAGCGCGTTCAAACAAACAAACAAGAAAACAAACTCTTCAACTTTATAATATTAGTATAGAAGTATAGATATTGGTGACTCTTTTTTAGTTATTCTTGATGCGTTGTTTTGACTGTTTGTTTCATTGAACTTAATATGGCTCTGAAACATTTGAGTACCACTGGAAAAAAATTGTTCTACTTGTATGTCGTCGCAATCTTTTGTGAAAACTGTTTTGCTGACTATGAAGGTAAAATGAAGATACGATTTTGAGGGCACCAACCTAGTGACTGAGACAAGAGAAAAACGGTATGCAGATATATAGAGGTAGTAATACAAGTACATACATTTAATCTGAGAAATTTGGTGATGTATGGATGTGCAAAAAACTAGTCAAAAAACGGATAAGACAATCGTCTATCTATATGATAGTTTATAATGAGATATTATACAAGGTAACAAATTATTTATAGTATTTCAGTGCACCGTTATATGAAATGGTCTCAGTATATCTTGAAATAAGTAGGTCGCTTCAATTAATATTTGAAACAGATAGTTGGCTATGTAAACTATGCGGGGTTGGAGGCCCGTTGGCATTTGCAGTATTAGGATAGCATAGCTGTATTAAATATTTAATAAATTATTATATGCTGAGTTTGTTAATGTCATATTCAAAGTTTGTACAAAAGTAAAGCTAGTTCAACGATGGTCTGAAACGTGGTTACATTAAATAAAAAAGTTTGGTGTTTTTAATGATTTGTAGTTTTTAAATCAATTGCCTAGGGAACTAGGCACTGACCTGATTTGATTTATGAACCACTAGCTTCTGCTAGCGGCTTTGCCCGCGTTCCTGTTAGTTAAAAAGTAGCCTATGTGGTTTTTCCAGACCGTAATCGACGAGTGTTCCAAATTTCATCTCAATCCCTTCAGCCGTTTTGACGTGAAAGAGTAACAAACAAACACACAAACACATATCTTCACTTTATAAAATTAGTTACTTACATTTATTTTAATTTTAAGTAATGACATATTTATTAGTTTAATTATTTCTACTAACAATGAAGAAATATAATTTAAATAAAAATAATAATAGATATATACAACTTAAGATACAAAAAGATAACAATTAAACTAAAAGTAACTATTTACACAGAGTATCGAAAAATTCGTCCACATCGACGTCAATAGGGAAAGTACCCAGAAGGCTGGCAGCATTGACACGTTGCTTAGTTAAACTTAAATGCTTATTAGTATTTTTTTTAAATAACTGCAAATACCAGTTGTGGAAAGTAAGTAAGTGTTGTGTCAATTCACTATTGGCTATCTCTATCTGGCGATGAATGGCAATCATGGTATAAGATACCTTGTAATTGGCTGAAATTTTTATTAAATATAGAATTGACTTGGGCCGTACAAACCGCTTCACTGCAGCAAATAATCTTTTCCCGCATTTATCAGAACTTAACAAAATATCTGCAATGCCGCAGCTTGCTGCAATATACAACACTTAGGAAAATAGGCTATGGCAATATCCACGATACTGGTGCCAGTTTTTCGTAGATACTTTTTCGTTATCACTGAACTAACTTTTCAATTTTAAGCATAAAAAAATATTTAAAGAAATACCTAGCAGAAATTTTAAATTATATTTAAAATATAAGAATATTTATTTGTGTTTTTTATTATTTTATAGACCCAACTGGAATATCCAACGATTCATCCAATTTCAGATGTCCCTCATTCCTATTAGATAGCAGTTAGGAGAAAGACTAGGGTAGATCTGTATGTATTGCTGCGGTTAAGAGCTGGTTCAGATTTTTCTGGTGTCGGCGTAATTTTGTGTCCCTCATTATTCTTCCTATATGTAAATAGTTAAAACAATTATATTTTATAACCTCATTAAGTACCTACTGTAACTAATATGTTCTAATCAAGTACATTTCTAGTACTGAATCAGTTTCAATTAAATGTTTGACTGTATTTCTGTGAACTATAATTATTTACAGTTTTAATCGTTAATTATTTTCAGCAGTATTATTCATTGTTTAAAGTGTAACTGTTACGCCGTGTTAAAGTTTTACTAGATCGCATAAAGTATTAATAGTGACACTTTTTAATATTAATGTGAATACCTCATTGGTCGTTTGAGACTGAACTTGAACTCGGATTCCGATTTTGGGTTGGGAAAACAATATTAAGTTTACCAGTTTTTTATTATTTCTCAGTAACAGCATGAAGTTTAAAGCCATAGTGTATAGCAATTAGTTCATTCCTATCATATGGGACTTTAAAATAACTGGCATGACCCTCAGTCTACTTACACCGACTTACCTACTTATACCTCTTCAGAGAACAAAAGGGGACATTCTACTAGATATTGTAGCTATAGTGACTGCACCCATCCAGTCACAGATATTGTAAGTTGACTCTGCACTCATGCCCGAGAGAGCTTATCTTCGTTCAAATAAGTCATTCACGTTTGATTGACGTGCTCGGTTAGCGAAGTTTAACTCAGGTTGGCTTCTATACAGTACGCAATAACTATTTATTGTATGTGAATTTTATATTTATAGAGAAGTAGATTCCTGGTAGATATGTCTTAATAATAAACTAAAAACCTAAATAAATACAAGCCTTTGTTGTCACCATGCATAACCATTCCCAGGAAAAAAATTTGAAACAAATAAGCCCTCGAACCGTTTCCAATCAACGTTATTGATAACAATTTTCTGTTTTTCGCATCCATTCGAACGGGGCGGCACTAAATTGTGTTTTAAATGACATGTTTTTATTTCAGGGGCGCCGGTGGGGGAGGAATGTTCGGTGATGTCAATATATCAGCTATTTTGGATTCATTTAGTATAAGTTACGACAAAAGAGTAAGACCAAATTATGGAGGTGAGTATTCTCAAGCTTCGGTTTGATTTATCTTGACTGAAATAGTTGATTATGAACTGGCAACCGTGAATTCACATTAATGATTAAAATATGAAGTGTTATCCAAATATGGAGGCATATTTAGCATGGGGCCTAGTCACAGAACGTTTGAGAATTCGAATTCAAGGCTAGGCGTGGTGTTTTGTTTTGTTTCTGATTGACTGCCTCCTCAGTCAAGTAGCTAAAAGAGCGGCCGTCAACCAAATTACCTGGGTTCGACCCCTAAGCAGTAAATGTGTTATTGGGTTTTTGGTTCATTTTGACGTGGTATATCATCTGACTTGGCTCAAAATGACTTGGCCTTTGTAGACCAATGACTCGTTATTGGCAATAGTTGCAGATGTGCCTAGGCTACAGTGGCCATTTACCATCAGACGGTTCGTAAAGTTTTGTAGCTACTTAGTAAATAATAACGAAGTCATAGTAGGTACTAGAAGAGTGAACTTCTACGTGCGTCACCGGGACGTGATATTATGTTTTACAGTGTCAAATCCATGTATGTATTTTTACGTTAATATTATGATACTTTAAAAAAAATGATTGTACAATACAATTAGAATAATAATATAACAACGGGTGTTCAAAATTTTGAACCAGTTAATACTGGTTACATTGTTACTAGACTCGGATTTTTCTGTTTGCTATGGCATGTAACTCTCGTTATATTACCTGTATAGGAAAAGATGAAAAATAAATATTGTTTTAAGAAATCGATTAGGAAAATAATCAAATTAATTTACTTTTGATGTGTCTTGTTCCCTTTCCAGCAGGTTTCCACCTACTATTTTTTGTAGTTTATTTAACTAGGCACTGTTCTGAGTAAATCGACTTTGGCATTGGTGCAATGTGGGTACTTACCTTACCGTACAGAAAATATTGATAGTAATAATTATAGTCTAAAGATTATACTTATACTATTCGAAGATGAATAAATAATGATTATATGTCTCCAAGCACACCACTTTGTGTCCATGTTTCAACAATAATACAGTCATTTCGAATTTAATTCTTCTTTCTCTTTAATTAGTTTGGCTCAAGAGTGATTACAATATTTTTCTGTAGAGTCAAGTCAACTACTCTAAAAATGGATTTACATGGTGTTTTTCCGTGATAACGTAACGTTTATGTTATGTCCTGTGATATATATAATTCCCATTGCAATCTACAGAAACTACTTTCCATCGACCGCTACAGAACTCATACGTGCATAATGTCGCCGGAACGCGACTCTAACTAACTCACGTGTTTGCTAAAGTATTAAACACGCCCCTCGTTGTGTGTCAATTCAATTAATATGATACAATACTTAAGAAGTATTCTCGTTAATTGGAGAGCTCATTACGGTAACTCGCAAATAGTAATTACAACAAATAACTAACACTTGTTATGTGTTGTGTATTGTGTCGTTTTCAGGACCACCCGTGGAAGTGGGGGTTACCATGTACGTGCTCTCCATCAGCTCTCTGTCTGAAGTGAAAATGGTATCTTATTTTCAAAGCAATTTTAAGACACAACGCATACATAGCAAGATTTTATCCTTTAGCATTATCACCAGCATTAAACCGTTCATCGTAGCACCCGTGTCCACGGTTCGATTGCATTCGATGGGTGTAGGCGCGAGTCGCGACACCTGGCCTTGTCGTAGCTGGCTGGCCGGGTCGCCGCGCCCGCACTCCTCGTGCACAGCAGCGACCACTAGACATTCGCAGGCACCCCGCGCCTCTCGCGTCCCTTCTGCTCCGCTCGCCCGGCGATGGGGCACGTCACCGTCCTCTGGTTTGGTTTTCACGGCGCGAGGCGCGCGCGCGACTCACGATTGGGCTTGATTGCAGGTCCGCCAGTGGAGGTGGGCGTCACCATGTATGTGCTCTCTATCAGCTCCGTCTCCGAAGTGCTCATGGTACTCGCCACTGTCAGCTCACGCTTGTCTCGGTCGCTCCGGCCGCGCGCTGCGCCGCTGCGACCGAGCAGCCCCAGACACGAGGCTGCGAGCATGTCCGCGTTTGGTGGAGCAGATCGCCCTTTGTCCGCCCACTTGCTTTCTTATTATGTTTCCTGGTAAACTCGTTTATATCAAAAAAGTGAAAGGACTATGCCCATTTATTTGTGTCCACATATTAAAAATAACATTCATTATGGTCACCAATATAAGTAATCAAATTATTGAGCAAAACTTAAAAAACTATATTACTTATTTCCATTGATTGACTACTTTACAGGAATTTATATAAGTGGTGCGATGTGATATTACATGTTTTACACAACCATTATGCGTTACTACGCATGAAAGCAAACTTTTCATTGGAGCATCTTTGTTCAAAATATTTAGACTCTTATTCAAGTTTTAAAAACATGATGAACCTTTTTTTAGTATTAAAAAACTCTGGCTTCACAAGTTTTATTGTGAACATTATTAAGTACAAGTTGTATCTAAACGTGATAAATTCTACTTCAGACTAGCTGCTTTAGTCTGGTGGGCATTGTCCTTTAATGATGAGATCATAATAAGAAAGGCAACCCGTTGAACCTTAAAATTATCCAGTTGTGTGTCCTGCAGTACTCGTAACTCCAAAGCTGCTGCCATATCAAGTGATGACGTCTGTCCTCTGATTACTTTTCTTTTACATTTGCTATTTTACTATTATTATTTCCTTTCGTTATTAACTAAATTACAGACTGGAATACTTTCATTTGATAAATTTTGTTTAGTTTTTATTTACCACAAATTTCGTCTGCAACCCTACTTTCCAAAGCTATATTTTTTCTTTTTTACAATATTATTTCAGTCAAATATCTAGCCAACAGAATATCATCACTTTCTTCGCTAAGGTTTGGCGTAGAAATAATTAAAACGTAAAAGTGTAGAATAATGTAATTGTAAATGGCAATGAAGGTGGCCTTTATTAAAAAAACCAAGGCATAATCTCAAAATACATTTAATAAGAACGTACATTAAATGTGTTCAGGCTCTGTGGACTTGCGACGACTGTATAACTCTTATCGTGATTCATTTTTGTAGTTTGTTGTGAATGTACGTATTATGTGTATTTACTGAAATATTGCCAACATAATTGTAACTTTCTAATATCTCCAGTGACTTGGAACATCGATACTATCTGACCTTATTTATTAGTACCGCTTTCGTGAGTTTGCTGTTTTTGATACTGATATCCCTATATATATTTGCGCAGTTCGATGGTCAGAATAAAGAAACCGAATTCGGTTTTCCAATATGTCTAACTGTGTAAGCTTGCTAGGCGTATGTTTGGGTGAAGGACCCTGAAGTGGAAACCAAATCAAGGTTGGGAAGGTCACAATGAGACGTGACCCATGGCCCAGGGTGGGGAGGTTGCCTAATTCACAATCCGCAAACTCTCGATTCGACCTCATAATGGACGTTAATTTGTTCCACATACCTGGTCCGAACTTTGTTGGTGGCAACTTGTATACGTACCGGCTTGTTAGCTTGAGTCAATAGAGGATTGCCTCTATCGAGCCGTGGGTGTCCGCCTTCGCCGCCGCCCACACACCTCGCCCTCTCCTATCACTTAGAGCACCCACATCCCTATTCATTATTAGACCTCACCTGTGTTCTGTAGGCTTCATGTCACTATCACACTCTCTGCACATTTTATTTTTTTCATAACTGTTTAAAGCTTATCGCTCAATTTAACTTTTCGATGTAGTGCAGTGTCTATATATTTTCCAGTGTTATTTCTGTCCGAAGTCACGAGAACTAAGCTTCGACTTTATTGTTTTCAATTTAAAAATTATATTTAATTAGCCTTTTGTGAACATTTGACGCAGTGTATCTATACTATGACATTGTGTAGGATGAATATATCTATATGGAACAAAGCATGCAGATGTTAGTTGTTAATTTATAGTTACCCAATACTAAAATATATTTGTGTATATACCTACTTCCTTAAAATTGTTTTAAGTACACTGACTACAAAAATATGGACATCCAACGTTCCTGCTGCACATTTATACATGCAGTTTGAATTGTTTAGTTGGAATAATGAGCCAACACGTTACATACCATAAACCGATTCCTACCATTGATATTGTCAGAGTTACTCATAATTTCAGTTAAAATCCATCCTCTATTTGTTTCATTTACTCTATTAGTGTCGATGGACGTGCAAACTTTGTTTAATGATTATGATTTTTTTCTCAGGATTTCACATTGGATTTTTACTTCAGACAATTTTGGACCGACCCCCGATTAGCTTACAAAAAGAGAACTGGAGTTGAGACATTATCTGTGGGTTCGGAATTCATAAAGAATATATGGGTGCCAGACACGTTTTTTGTAAACGAAAAGCAATCTTATTTCCATATAGCAACAACAAGCAACGAATTCATACGTATTCATTATTCTGGCTCTATCACTAGGAGTATCAGGTAAAACCTCTGACATTAATATAATGACATAATGCCTGATATAATGCCATCTAAACCAATTAATAGCATTGTTATGTCGACCATAAAGAGTATTAATGTAATTACAAAACTATAGATTTGTGTTCGTGTTTCAGATTGACGATTACAGCTTCGTGTCCTATGAACCTGCAATACTTCCCAATGGATCGCCAGTTGTGTCACATTGAGATAGAAAGTTGTAAGTATCTGAACTAATTTGTATTATTATACGCCAATATGTGTGTGTTGTTGACAAACTTGTATATTTATCACAAAATGCTACCTTTGATAATACAATATTGATACTTAATGTTTTAGCTACTATCAGAGTGTTGCTGGACAACCGCACGCTTTGTGTGTCAGTTGCAACAATGTAATTTTGTTTTTAAGAATCGCAAAATATCGACGGCAATGAAAAAATACAAATGCAGTGCCAGGCACTTTTAGTTACAGATGACAAAACAGTCGAAAACAATATTACTATACGTATACGTGTGTATTGTGCTCACCAAAGCAATCATTAATTTGATTCTTTACCACGATGCAAACCTATCACTAGGCTTACAGATGTGTTGTGAACACTTTCTTGTATCACAGATGCTACTCAGGGTACCCTGTGAGCACAAGCGTACTACATAATCGTCGACACGTGCTGTGATTTCCCTCGTGTTTTCATAAGTTGGAACGTCTCCTTCTCGCATACAGCACCCGCAGAAGGCAGACCCGTCAATAGTAAGCCTTTGTTCTCACGAGCATTTAGCATACGAAATGATACTGAGACATCGACGCTGCGACATGCTGAGCGGGTTAAAGGAGGCGGGGGACGGTGGCGCCCGCGGGGTCTGCACAACTACCGAGGGCCGTGCCGCAGACAAGGCACCGCACGCGCCTCGGCGCACACCCAACACACCCTCGCACCACCGCCGCTTTCGCTCATCACACGCACCCTACAGTCACTGCACTTGCATGACCTTACATTTTAATGCTTGCTCTATAGTCACTATTCTCATTGTAGTTAAACGATAATATTTTTTTGTTAAAAATCATTTATAGAATAGTCAATACTTACCCAATTATTTTTCTGGTCTTTGTCACCCTTGTAGGTAGTAGTAATCTTTTTCTATCATCCAATTAAGTCGAACCAAGTGAAATATAGTATGTATTCTGGAAGAACCTGGGTTCGGCTTAATTACGTCTCGCCACTTGAACCCATCCTCGACACAGGCGCGGCCGCGTGAGGGAAACGCGATGCTTCGCAGCGTAAGTGATAGCGTTTTGTGTGTTTGGCATGTCTCCGGAGTCGGGTACACAATGAGAGACATTCGGTACCATTGGAAAGATGGGGTGAACAGCGTCGGTATGAGCAACGAGGTGCAGCTGCCGCAGTTCCGGGTGCTCGGCCACCGGCAGCGCGCCACTGTTGTTACATTGACGACAGGTAACCGATCGCAATAGCCGCTCTCCCAGCACAGCACATCCATAACTCCGCCACCGACCCCGTCTCCCTCAGCCCGTGTGCAGACGATTGTAACCGCGACACAAGCACACACGCTAAACATAACACGACAATCGCACGACGAGACGCGCGAATCCGAACTCGCGACTCCCCTGCTCTTACCCCAACCGAAAGACAATTCGTGTTGTAAAACCCATTGCGATGGGCCTGGGGTTGTTTCATTTATAATGTCCGCTGCGCACAGTCGGCTACACCATGCGGGACATCAGATACAAATGGAACGAGGGGCCCAACTCTGTGGGTGTTTCCAGCGAGGTGTCGCTGCCGCAGTTCAAGGTGCTGGGCCATCGCCAACGAGCTATGGAGATCTCCCTTACTACAGGTACTTGGGTTCGCAGGGGAATCTATGTAGGGAACAAAAAATATATAAATGAGACACCACTACGTGGAACACTGGACAGAAACAGCCACGATTCTTATCACGTCCTGCTTTTGTATTATTGCACAAAACACTATGAGTGGTGTGAAATAGATTTTATGTCATGTTGTATGGTTAATTAAGTTTTTTAATATCTGGAATACTTTCCAAAGTTCAAAAGACGTAACAAAACAACTTAATCTCCTGAAAGTCGAACTGTAGAAACAGAGTTTGTTCATACGTTTACTATAATGATGACATTCCGTTATGGTGATTATTATGATACTTTCTCTTCGATATAGGTACTTATATTTTAACACGATATATACATATTATGTGTAATTGTTTATTTGTAGCATTCCTGCTCTTATTTATTTAAAACCTTTTACAGGAAATTACTCAAGATTGGCATGTGAAATTCAATTTGTGCGATCAATGGGATATTACCTGATTCAAATTTATATTCCGTCTGGTTTGATTGTCATCATATCATGGGTATCATTTTGGTTGAACCGGAATGCCACACCGGCTCGAGTGGCTCTAGGTGTTACCACTGTGTTGACGATGACAACGCTCATGTCGTCAACGAATGCGGCTTTACCTAAGATATCGTACGTCAAGTCTATCGACGTATATTTGGGAACCTGTTTCGTGATGGTCTTCGCTAGCTTGCTAGGTAATAATATTTTATGTATATTATTATTAATCTATATTTATATTTAAATAACAACTGCAAGGCGATTTGTTCACGTAAGTCGAATTAAGGTTATTCTCTTATGCGAATGTGCATAGCGATAGTCGCACCAACACGTTGTTAAATATTTCGTTATGGACGCATTTCTCTCATCTTTGCAGAATATGCTACTGTGGGATATATGGCCAAAAGAATACAGATGAGAAAACAAAGATTTGTAGCTATACAAAAAATCGCCTCTGAAAAGAAAATCCCAGTTGATTGTCCCCCTGTCGGTGACCCACACACGCTGTCTAAAATGGGAACTCTTAGCCGATGCCCACCTGGAAGACCATCGGTAAACTAGTTCAGTTTATAATTGATATTTCTTTTGAAAATCTGCAGTGTTTCCAACTGTCCTCATATGTTTTCCAGGAGGTGCGATTTAAAGTACATGACCCCAAAGCTCATTCCAAAGGCGGCACTCTAGAGAACACCATCAACGGTGGCCGCAGTGGAGCAGAAGAAGAGAACCCAGGACCTCCTCCGCATATCTTACATCCTGGCAAGGTGAATATTGTCATGATCCATGCGGACATGTAAAACTTTTGTATATTATTATTTATATAATAAGCGAACAATTATGCTTGCGATAAGGCTATGCGTCTTGTTTTCAAAGATACATATGCTGAGCGTTTGCGACTTTTAAAATATTCTTGTTAGGAATCATTCCTACTCAGGTTTATATCCTAATCTTATTGAATGGTATCTCATAGAAAATAAACAATGTTTTGGTTGATAATACACTAGAAAATGAACTTTAAATGTCTATTCTAAAAACACACGATCTTTAAAACGGACTTTAAGTACAAAATGTATCTTATTTCTAGCATTTTATAACGACATAAACCTTATAAATATCTTAAGTAATTTAGGAAAAATTGCTATGATTCCCCACTATATTTAAATCCATTGATTTAACTGGAAATGATTTTCAAACAGTTTGACATGACCTGCCCGTTTGTTGGTTTCTTTAGTAATTCAAATTTTACTCCCTTTCTGATATTTTGGTACGCACTCTTTATCTTGGGGATCACACAAGATACCTATTTTTTCCACAACTGCCTCCAATATGTATGTCAATGAAAGATTTTGGTTGGAACATTAAAACTCATTAAAACCGTTTAACATAAAATCGTTTTTATAACTTGTTTGTTTTAATAGAGAAGTCCACCGATAAAAATGACTGAGTAATAGAGAATGTATTTTTTAAAGGAACAGTCGCCATTCCCCATGTGTTCCTGTTACTTCATAGACATAAAAGCCTTTTGTTGCCCGTATATTAAGAAATTGTTTGATCGGACCATCATTTTCAGGAAGCCCTACCTGAAAAGGTTTAGATCCCCGATAATTTAAACTCAATTAAGTAGATTGAGTGCCCGGTACTTACACCTAGCATTCGGAGTTTTTTATTACGCCACGGTTTCACGCTGTATTTCTATAAATAATGGTATTTCTTTGATCAGGCCTACCCAGCTAAGCCCTACCAAATACAATGACCCAATTTTACCCCAATACCTACCCGGTTATGGACCTATGGGGAGCCTACTTAATATAATATGTTTGTAAACTTAAGGCATTATCAACTAATTAGACGATAGAAATGTTTTGCATATTTACTGTCTTATAACATTACCATACTAAATACAATTTAGTTATGATAATTAATTAATATAAGTTAAGTCAACTAAAGTTCATTTAGCTACATAACTGGTGTTCTGTGTGACCATCTTGTTATTTATTTATTCTCATAACGCAATTGTTTCTATGAGGTGCCATTTAAATAGCTTATTAATATCTGGCCTATTCTCTAAATAATTTAAAATCTCAAATTAAAGTATCAATAACTATACATATTAATTTCGTGAGATATGCTAAATTAATTATTTTGTTTTTCTATGTAATTGACTAGTTTTAAGCCACACAAGACGCGGCGACTATTGCGATATGCTACTCCTTAATAAGAACCTCTAGTATGGCTTGAAACTAGTCGAGTTCCTCGTAACATAATTACGAGAGTTAGCCGAATAACATAATAATTGGCTCAGTAACTATTATGTTTAGGGTACACTATTTTAATCTCAACCACACTACTGTCCTAAAAGGAATACAGCATGTTATCAGTAACCTGTTCACTTACATACGTACCTTACCAACATAACATGCACTGGTCAGATTCTTAGAAAATTGTTTTCATTTTCCAGGACATAAGCAAATTGCTCGGCATGACTCCTTCGGACATCGACAAGTACTCTCGCATAGTATTCCCCGTCTGCTTCGTATGTTTTAACCTCATGTACTGGATCATATACCTTCACGTATCCGACGTCGTGGCTGACGATCTGGTTCTACTGGAAGAAGATAAATAGAGGGCGCTGTGTACATATGTACATCCACTTATTTTCTCACATTACCGTATTGAATAATAATTTGAAACAATTCATTAAATACTCATATTATTCCCCTCTTTAGTATAAAGGAAAAACATATTTGTATTTAGATTTTCAATGTACACGAAACTATCTCGTCGTTTTTCGAAATTGATTTGTAGGTAATCTATACATAATGTACTAAGTGTAACGTGATAAATGTTGTAAATACGTAAGACTCGGAAATATGAATTACGAACGATTTAGCATAAGATCTACATGTTTTTCTTGGAGTCTAAGGTAGAATCCAAACGACTGAAGTTTTGTGTCATTTAGATGTCACGTGTAACGACGTGATCTACTCTTGGGTTGATAAATGGATTCCAGGTTTAGAAAGTAGGCTTTACTGCTTTACTTTATGTCGGGCTGTAGATTAAATTTAATTTAATTATTTCGTATTTGTAAATATTAGGCTCGTTTACTGCACGTAGTTAGTTATAAATGTATGTGCAGCTTATGAGATCGAGAAAAATATGAATTTATGGTTTATAAGTTTTAAAGTGAATAAATGGATTAGTATGTTATTCTTCGTATAGGCACACATGTGTTCCTAAATTTTGCAAGTGGGGAATAGTATTTTGCTTCTACCGAATTTCAGTAAGGTTTCAAATTATTATTATTAAGTGGTAAAATGAGTGGAATTACGATAAATCCGTAGTAATACGAATCTGATGCTCAAATTTCTCAGCTTGAATTATTTAATTAGTTTTTAGTAAACTTTTGTAATTATAACATAAACTTAGTGATTCGTTTATTCTTTGCTGATATCGTTGTGATAATATCATTAGGACTTTTATTTTTTAATTGTAGTTGCAGACCATTCCAATGTCCTAAACTATTTTTGTTTGGAACCGTAGTTTTATTTTGTAACTTGTAAATTATTAATGAATGTTTTGAGCAAGTGATTTTGCTTCACATCATTGAATGCGTGTTGAGTTTTGATATTGATATAAATTAATATTGTTTACTTTATTATGTCTGATCAATAAGTCATGAAATAAATAAGTCAGAAATCAGCAGCATTCAGAACATTTAGAACATATCCCTACGCTAATCGGAGCAGGTAAATATTAGCAAGTTATCATAAATCTGTTTTTATTTCCATCATTATATCGGAGCAGATCAGTTCCATTAGAGGCATGCAGTCGCCAGATATTAATCTAATCTAAATCCAGCATGTATGTTCCCACTCTTGTCATATTGTACCTTTGCAATACATCGACTTTGTCAAATAAGGCTTCTGGTTTATTATTTCATGTTTTTTGGACTTCGTTAATAATAATAATTTGTACTCGCAAACAAGTTATCTAGAAGTGTACAAACGTTAATCATGCGATTCTCGAGAATACAGTTTTTCTGCCTTCATACCGCTAATGTTAGAATTAGAATGGCCGGCAGCACACACATAGTTACGCATCCGTGACACTGCTAGACTATGGACCTCTGCTTAATAAGAGGGGATTGCCATCATCTTCAAGCATGGTAGGCGCGTTGGAGATTGCAAATTGATAGGTTCAGGTTTACCAAAGGGCGCTGCTGGCCCCGTCAAATATGTAGTACCTTATACGGCTCTTACGATAACAACGACAAGTGCAGCGGTAGTGACAAATGTTTTCTATCCGATCGTCACCTCACGTCACAGCCAGTTCATAAACTATGTAAAATACCTACACACACACCTACATTTTTGTAATTTCATGTTTGAAAACGGTTACTTCGTCACACTATTTTCCACTTATTAATATTGTTTATTGAAGATTTCTTTTTAATTAAAGTGATGTATTTGCTTGGTAATTATTAATTGAACGTTAAATTAAAATAAAATGATTTAGAAATGTCATAGGCAACCGAATCTAAACCTGAATGATAAATTCGAATATTATAATAACCTAAAATCAATTATTTAGAATATTGCAGAGAATTTCTTGTTCATAGTATTTTGAGGGACACATTAACCATGCAATCTATTAAAACATATTCATCAAACAGCGATTTGTTGCTGGAATATCATTCAAGGAACATTCCTGCATTAGTTGACCTACACATTATAGAGCCCATTCATTTGATTCTGATTAATTATCATTAGTACTAATGATTTGTATTTCATCGTAAACAGTATGTACTAGATAAGTAAATACATAGTTTAGTCTTCTATTTAAATAGTTTTACCTCTGAGAATATTTGCTATTTCTTAACTAGCCGCACAATAGTCCATGCAATGCTTTCCTAAATTAGTTCAGTTTAGATGAATTAGCTTTTTTTGCTCGCTAGTACTCTACTAAAGCAGTAGTTGAAGCATAATTGAGCATTAGAAACGCGTTGTCAATATGGGAACCATACTCGTGGCCTGCACTGCAACAGTGACTGGCGTCGGATATCCGTTCCTATCTTCACAACGTTTGATGACTGTCCTACCCTCGAATATCTGACAAGCAGGGTTCCTGTCTTCAGCTACGACTCGCAATGGATTTGTTGTGCGCAACACATTTGAGGTTTGAGTTCTTGACATACACATACATAAATGATACGTTAAAATTGCAAAAACGTAAAGACTCAAATGAATCAACTTATAAGAATGAGCATTCGAACATTTGTAGAAATAATAACAAATGTAATCGAGTAGAAAATCGAGAACCTACTGTGTAATTATTTAGTCATAGAACAAAACCCAGAGGATGTACTGCTGAATTATTTTCTCAGGATAATTTATTTCATAAGGGTACATGTGCCGTATTGTACTCATAGCTTCAGCAGTCCACCTTTAATGTTAACTAATTGCATTTTGTTCATCTATTTGCATAAACTGCACGGCGTGCGGTTAATACTAGAACACGATATCCTCAAGATAAAGTTTTTACATTATTTTGAGTTTCGTTTAGTGCTACTTACTAAATATTTGTTAGCGTTCTAAAGGTGTAAATTAGAAAAAAATGAAGTCATTATAATATAGGTATTGAATGTAATCAAATAAAGGCTTCTTTAAAAATAATTTAATACCTTCTTCTATACATTTTCATTGCCAAATACACGTAGATACTGTATGTTTGATTAATCTTTCAGGTAAAAGTGTAGATAATGCATTTACAATCCAGATTATAGCAATAAATTACGTAGACTAAACATTTGGAATGAACCTGATTTTAGACAAAGACGCAGTTTAAAAACAAGTTCATTTTGTATTCACCCAAATTTTAGGCAAAACGTAGACTCTGTTTTTGGATAACCCAGATTTGGGCTTAAAAAGTAATACATTTTAGATATATTTTAGCTCGTAATGTAAATAAAACTTATTAACACTTTCATATAATAAACAGCACTAAAATATAAGGCACCGTGTAATCTGTGTATTCACAATTTTATTTTATTGCATTTATATTACGACTAAGAAAGTCTGTTGTATTACATAATAGAATATGATTATATAATAAGGTAGCACGCTGGTAGAGGAAAATATTGAAAGTAGGGTCTACTATGTGACGTCGGCCACGTCTCTCCGAAACGAAATTCTAAAATATTTGTCTAGTGACTAGTAATTAAGTTCAAGACATTATAGGTCTAAGAAAATGTATCTTAGTTGATCTTAATATAATATTATAATTAAGTAGTTCCGCACTTTCTTAACCCATTTAGGCCCGCCGTCCCCATATGGGGACAGGTTTTCTTTTACCCGCTGGTTATTAATTATTTTAGCTATCTTCACATTTCATGGGTATTTATAATGAGGAGTAGTGTACTTTCCTAAAATTAATAGAAGTTTTGACAAATTGCTACAAAAAAGGGGTCATATTGTCAATTTTATCAAGAGGAAGTGAAATGGGAATTATTGTTAAAAGCAGAGGCGTTTTGTAGTACGTTATTATGAAGATTTATAAAACTTTTTTGTGATTATTGCTTGCTTATAGTGTCAATTAAAACAATATTGAAGAATATCCTTATACTTTCAATTCCGCTTAGGGGAAAGTTAGAAAAAATGATGGTGTCCCCGTATGGGGACAATGGGCACATCTGTAGTATATTTTTAAAACATTTATACCTGATTTGTATTTTGTTTTCCAATTTATAAAGGGCACCTATAGGCTAAACTTAGTTATAGCTAATACTTGGTGACAACAGACGCTATTTCACGAAGAGCATCACCAACTCCGCCATATCTTTACGCGTTCATATTCTAAAATCTGATAGGCATCAAGACCGAAGATGCAAAAGTCCACCTACAGTACCAGGCGTCGCATCCGATATCAGAATTCAGCAGTAGGGGCATTTCCTCCAGCTGTATTCTGGTGTCGTCACAGCGAAGTCCACCCAGAGGATAGAGTAGCATTATGCCCTATATACGTTGACCACCGCCGTGTCTTCAGGGAAGTGATCGACGACGATAATCTTCCACGTCCAGCTTAGGTTCTGGCTGTGGTGCGGAGCGAGGGGAACTGGAATACATCTCTTTCTGCGAAGCAGTCATAGTAGCAAGAAAAGATCGCCACCCAGAACCAGACCTGTACCTGTAAGGTGCGTGGCGTTACGCGCGTGCTTCAAAGTGCAGATCAGACCGCCTTAGATCGAGATGGCTCAGTGGGACAGATGCCCGACTACTATGAATAACCTAGTGGGTCACCGGGGCTTCGGCTTGAAGCAGAATTAGGAACGTGTTGGTTTTTAGCCAGTAAGAGTCCCCCAGGTAGAAAACGCAATGCATGATTTTTACCCTCAAAAAAAATATAGGAGCGTCACATCAAATTGATTTAGACATTTTCCGCAGAGATTTAGTTAATATCTGTTACGATACGCAGTTCGTCATAAAAAAACTGTGATATCAATGCAAATAATGCGTTAGAACCTTATGTGTCAAAAACAGTTACTACTTCGAAAAGTACTACACATGAGCCCGTTGTCCCCAATCAAGGACGGCATTTTTTTTAATACTTCTAAAAATATTTTTTGAA